CACCTGCTGGCAGAGAGTGAATCTGCATCTCATTCAGCTCGTCTGCTGTTTCTGTTTCATGCAGATATTTTTTATATATAGTTTCACAAAACTGAAGTCAAACCATTCTGTTTTTGCTTCAAATGTAGAAATTATACAATCTAATTTAGCTTAAAAACTGCTCATGTTGCATGTATGCAGCATCTTTGTTTGGATCATGATTAAAATGCAGTGGTTGCTTCTAATTAGGGCTGCATGATAAATCGTGCAAAACCACGTTCATATTCGCGCGATTTTTTGCGCAGCTCGTCAGTGAACAACGGCTCTGTGTAGTTAATGCTGCTCAATGTGAAAGCACGCACGTGATGGAGATTTACCGCTGATTACAGAACGGCTTTCTGACAAGATGCGCATTAAATATCACATGCGATTTATCGTGCAGCCCTACTTCTAATTTTAAATGGAAAGAACACAGACAAAGCCTTATTTTGTTTATATGAAGAGATTTATTTTATTTGTGTTACTTGTTTATTTGATTTGGGGCTGTTTTAAAATTTAAATGTAGTTTTGTTATTTACATTTTACATTATATTTAAATTTTGTTATTTAGCAGACGCTTTTATCCAAAGTGACTTACAAATGAGGACAATAGAAGCAATCAAAACCAACAAAAGAGCAATAATATGCAAGTGCTATATTAGTACTGTATATTATTATAGTGTTATATTTCATATTCACAAAGAAACGTACAGTATTTTGTCCAAGCAATAATAAAAGGACACATTTAATTTATAATTTCTTAAATCTCATTTTGTAAAAAAAAAAAAACGTGAAATCAAAATCATGAATCAAATCGAATCGTGAGTTGAGTGAATCGTTACATCCCTAATAATCGCTTATCTTACAGTAGGAACTAACATTACTTGTAGTAATAAATTAATATATGGTCCAGGCTGATTATCCGTGCGTGTTTGGCCGCAGTGTGTTGTGCACATGCTCGTATAAGTGCTGCTGGCTCACAGGAAATCAGGTTTGCGTCTGAACTGGATCATGTCATGATCTCATATCCCCTTTCTCACCGCTTCTTTGCTCTCTGTATTCTGTTTTCCTATAATATAGGCAACCCCCATTATGTGTCATTATGTATATGTATCTGAATATTGGGATCAGCGTCGGTCAGTGAAACTAGTTTATCACTTAAATGATAGACTTGTATAAATCAGTCAGTCAGTTTAATCACCTGGGATATTACACATTTTGAAATTATCAGCATCAGACTATTAACAAAAGTGAGCTCTCTGTCAGACGTTTTCATATATAGCTGTATTAAAATCTATGTGTTTATTTATATATGTATATATTATGTGTGTATATATATATATATATATATATATATATACACACA